AGACCACAGTTCGAACCGAGGGTTTTTTATGTCCATTTTCTTTGTCCATTTTCTTTGTCCATTGATGCGGACCATTTATGCGTCGTGAAAGCATGGCGTGACACACGCATAAAAACTGGATGTCACACGACCAAGCCAGGTGGGGGGGGTTGGGGGACGCTGACAAACAAATAGCTTTTGGAATTATCCTTCTCGCTGTTCCCGGGGGTGCGTAATTTGGTGATGGCATGGGGCCTTGACTGAGCAAATGATTGGTAATTTACTGCGGATTGATTGCTGCAGGGTGTAGAAGTGGATGAAGAAATTATTACACTTGATGGGGTAGGAGAGAACAGGTACGTCGTCGTCGTCGTCATCCGGGATTTGGTGTGTATGCGTTTCATAAATGACATGCTCTTTAAAAAAAAGGTCCTCTTTTTTTTGTTGCAAATGAGGTATTGAAAAAAAAGGCCATATTCTTTCTGAATTGAGAAGCACCAAAAAAAAAAAAAAAAAAAAAGTAATCCTGACAGAATGTGTCTAGAGGACCTACAAGAATTCCTACATAGCATTGTGTGTGTGATTGGAGTACCGAGGTGGAAGTGACGAGGGACAAGAAGGTCGGACATGTATAGTATTGTGCGCATGTTGGGACGATTTTGCATATTTTGGCAGCTTGTGGGCCCCTTAGGGATTTGTAATTCACCTAGGCTTAATAGGCCTTCCACCTGTGTTGCCAACCGGGCCGCCCGAGTCGTCTTGGCTGCCGGGAGGCGGCTCGGCCGGGCAAGGGCCAAGGAAGGTCCCTGCGAAAAATATATAGAGTCAAACAGGGAGCTGCGCGGTAAACCGTAGGCAGAGAGGGATCTGTTTGACTACATATAAACGTGGCGAGCCTTGTACGTTAGAGGCACAGTGGAGGAGGCGCTGAGAAACTGAATGATTTTTTTTAATTTATTTATTTTATTTTTTATTTTTTGTAAGGAACTTCAAAGTTAGACAAAAATCAGAAAACGACTCAAGAATCCACCAACAGTCCTCTTTACCTCACTCCGGCAAGACTTACTGCAGTAAAGCCACCATCTCTACTGCTGCTATGCCCTATTTCTGTCCTACCAGTTAGCCCCTTCGCTAGTAGGACCGCGGAACTGAATGATTTCAATGTGTCTTTGTTTTTTATTTTTATCCCTTGTTCAGTGTATCTTTTTTTGTAAAACACTGAAAGAAATAAGAATACAGTGAAACAAAGAATAAGAGGACACTGTTTTGTGTCATTCTGGTTTGTCTGAGGTTCAGCCTCCTGATGAGTCGGTGAAACTCCGACGAAACAGTTTGTCACAGCCCCTCGTTTGTTGTCCTCTTCTCCCTCTCTGCCTACGGTTTACCGGGCAGTTCTATTTGACGATATATATATACATATATATACAGGGTTACTGGCATTCGGGACGGGCCGAACGCCCGAACCCGAACGCCCGAACGTGCGGGACCCCTTCGGAAG